CCCGTGTGGCGGCGCCCACCTTCCAGGCCGCCTGAGAGATGCCGCGTTCCGCGACGCCCACCTGCTCGACCCCCGGAGTGCCTTAGTCGATGGGCTGGGTTCCTTCCCTGGCCGGATGGAAGGGGGGGGGAGTAGTTCAGGCCGGATAGCTCCCGGACCTGAAACTGACGGTGGGGGTATGTGGAGGTGAAGGGGCGGAGAGAGCACCTTCACCTGCACCACAGAGGATCAATAAGCACAGGTGAGAGCTGTTAGCTGATTGATCCTCAGACTTGAAAAGGAGGCAGCAGAGCTGCCTCGAAAGAACGCTCAAAGGACACTCGAGAGACCCTCAGGACACACACTGGGAGAGAGACTGAAGCTAAAGGTCCAGCAGAAAGTGGTGGACCCGTTAAGTTCGATGTTTTGTGTAAGTTTCAGTTTCACATTAATAAAGAGATGTTGCTAAACAAGAAATGGTTGGACTGGTTCGTCTCTGGCTGTCGTGAGGGGAACCCCGTGGCATGGTCGAATGCCACAGTCAATTATATATAATAAGCTGAAGGCTACTTTCTGCGCCTCTGTCCCATGAGATGTGTAACATGCAAAACATCTCCTATAAAATATCAGGCCTCTTTTCGAACTGTGGCTCCCACACATTGCTCCTGCCCAGCCAAATAAGCATACTGTTGATAAAGAATTTCTGCTTGACCAAGGTAGGACAGCAACTAAAACACGATAACACTAACAGGCCAGATGAGTGTTTGGTGAAAATTTATCTCAAGATGTGAAAGTTTCTCAGACTGGAGTTATCTTTGGGTCTTTAATAGAGCTCTGCAAAGGGTTTCAAACTGATGAATGCTCAGAGTGGAACCTAAAATTGTGAAAGGAGAAGGTTTTTATACAGTTGGGTAAACAGGAAACATAGGAGACAACCGTTTCTGAATAAGAGCATGAACACTGAAGCCACCTGTAGTCTGGTAACACAGGAAACTGTCCACTCTTGCTTCTACATGAAAGAAGTTTGGTAGCTTCACAGATCAGGGTCAACAAAAGGGATCATCAACAAGTAAGGACATGAACTCTGAGGTTACATCTTCCAAGTGCATTGCAACACTCAGGGCATTTGTTAGTTAAAAGTAAAAATGAATAAAGGTGTAGGAGCCTAGGTCCTATTTGAGTTCATTAATGTTGAATAATAATTTAAGTTCATGTATTAAAATATATTTGTGTTGATTGTGGTAAAAATCTAGCTATTTACATTATGTACAGTTAGATAATTCATACTGATAAGTTCATTTGACTTGACTTGAAATGTGTATGGATATTTGCAGGTTTAAAAATTGCCTATAGCACCTTTAATGTGGATTAATCTGTGTGCGTGGTTAAGCTGAGTGGGCAGTCACGTCAGGCATCATGGAGTGGAGCCATATAGTTTTTTGACCTCACTCACCCGTTCACTCTTTTTATTTGTCTTTCTCTCGCTCATTTTTCAGTCATGCTGGACTGTTGTATCTTGCTTTATTTTTTGAAGTAAATTAAGAAAACTAACGAGAGGATTTTGTGGAGTTTTTCCTTTGAGTTCGAGGTGGATAACGAGGGTGAGAGCATCAAGCTCATGGCTTCATTGTTAAGGAACCTACAAAAGGTATCTCTCTAGTTTTGAATCGTCTGTCTGCACGTACGCCAGACAGTTCCTCTTATGGGTGGTTGTTGTTTTATTAAATATATTTCAGGGATACAATTTTGTGTTGTATGTTTTGGATTCCTGTTTCTGTGTGGATGTAATGTTTGCTGATGTAGGATTAGTCTGTGGGCATGTTTAAGTGATTTGTTCTGTATTGTTTGAAGGTGTTTTAGCTGTTTGTTCAAGATGGTGATCCAAGCAGAGACAGTATTCAAAGATTCAAAGATTTTTAGATTGGTCTGAATGGTCTGATGTATGATTGGTACATTTTATTGACTGTAGAACGTGAGCGTTTTTTTTTTTTTTTTACAGACGGCTTTTAAGGGATAGTTCACCGAAAATTTTTATTCAACTCACTATCTACCCACCACTATGTGAATGGAGGGGTGGGTAAAGTATTTGAGTCCACAAAACACTTTTGTGTCTAAGGGGTAAACAGTGTTGCAGCCAAATTCAAGTCCATGCGGACCAGTAGGAAGGCGTGAGACTGTGCGTTTAGGCCACAGGTGAACTGTTCATATTTCATTATTCATTGTTCATATGTAGCTACTGGGGCCACACAGTCAGTTGTTTTTGTTATTGCGGAGAAAACGTTACATATTCTTCTGCTTGATGTGTGTATCCACGGTGTGGATTAATTGTTCAGCTTGTTTGGACTGAATATTAATTAAAAATGAATTAAAATTAAATGCTATTGAATATGTCATTATTATCATTTAAAAAATTAAGGTGACCGGTAAAAATAGATTATGACGGGATTTTTATGACCCTGTCAGTCAAAATGACAGACAATGAAAAAGTCTAGCACAACCTCTGGTTGCGACTTTAATCAATTTAACGGTTTTCAATGTTTTTGCATATGAGAATGGCTACTCCTCCATGTCCTGTCTGTTGTTCTTTCCTGATGATTTTGTAACAGGGGATTTGGATTTGTGAGTTATATGATAAAAGTGTTTTCATTAAAGGTGTGTAAGGTTTAGGTGAAAGGGAACTATCGGGAGACATAATAAGTAGTAGAATAATCCTCATGATGTTTTCACTAGTTCATTTCATCTAAATTGTATGAATTGGAGTTTTCTTTGCCCCAGGAAAAAGGTCCTTTATATTTAAATACTTTATATTTACATTGAGGGGACCCTCTCTACGGAGGCCGCCAGGTTTTTTACATTAGTCCAGACTGGAAAAACTAAACAACTTTTGAGTTTATATCTAAAATTTAAATTTGGGGTTAAATCTCAAAAGTTGTTTGTGTTGAACCTGTGGGGCACCTGTAGCGTCGTCACAGCCAACCCCCCCGCTCGGAAAAAAGCATGAGAAGGAGACGAACAGAGAGAGATCCCACATGTATTAATGAGATCCAGAGCTTGGAGAAAACTTGATAAGAAAGAGAGGGAAAGTGTGTGAGAGGAGGTGCAGCGTCGGCGAGAGTGGTTGCTCACATTAGCGGAGCAGGATAATTGTTTTATTTACCTTGGAAACTCCGGTGAGTGAAGGCATTGTTTATGTGTAGCTGTCGGCTAGTATGGCAGTCAGCTGATGACCATCGGTCAGCTAAGTGGCCATTTTAGCTTCATTGAGCCGAGTAGAACAAGAGTTAAAACCAGTCGGAGTGTTTTGGAAGCTATACATGCTGAATATTACCGAGTATTGTATCGCTATATTGTATTTAAATTCATCATTTCATGTTGAAAAATGTGTTAAAAAAGGGTTCAAAAGATGTTACTGTGTTATCTAAAAAATGCTCTAATTTCATGATTAGTGTGGATATGAGTAAATTCATGTCTAAATAGTGGTAAAAAGTCTGATAAATAATTACTTAGAGAAGAACACTGTAAAATAAAATAGTAAATTCATGGGTAGATTATCTCTGTTTACAAATTTAACTGTACAACTTGATTGATTGATTGAACCTGACATTATTACATTTATGGTGATATCATTTTTATTGAAAATGATAAAGTAATTTGATTTGTTGTTTGCACAATATGTGTAGACTGGTTTTTGTGTGACCCTGGATCTGAGAGGACGATTTCGATGGCGAGCCGGACCCATGGAGAGAAGATTGACAATCCCTGCTAGTAGACTGGCCAGCTGCTGCAGGATTTGCAAAGTGGAATCACCTTGAACACGTTGAAAAACTCAGATAAGCACATGAACACACACTATTATTCCTACCCGGGGAGTGTACGTTAGAAAGACAAGACCAACAACTCAAAGAACAGTACCAGTACAACAAGAACTGAACAAAAGGACCTGGATCCAGAGACTATTATTTCTTTTTCCAGATATTTTTATATTTTATTTTATTTTTACTAAAGAAAAAGAGCTGTATTTTATTTTGTTTGTTATTTTTCTACTCACTGTAAACATGGTATTTTCCTGTATTCCTAGAATAAAACTGTCAGTTGTTACTTACCTTTCCAATACATTTTTTATTAAAAATCTTTTATTACTCCTCAGAACCTAGGTCTTAGTAAGCACAAATCTAACACCTGTGCTACATGTTGTTATCGTATGATGCACAGTTGCGATCCCTGAAAATATACAGATGTAACACAAATATAGTTGGAGCACTTAGAAACATTTACTGTACACACCTGGCTGCAACCACGGTTTCAGTGGATGTTCTTCATGCATGTGGACTCCTCGTAGGTGGTTCACAAGAGATCAAATGTGATGTCCCCTGCAGATAAAAAGAAATGTAAGGGACCAGGTGAGGATTTATAAACTGTAAAGTCAATAAGAAGAAGCAGCCTTGTGCATTACTTATTGTTATTATTGTAGGGGGGTCCCCCCTCTCTCATTGAAGGACTTGATAAGTTTATCTGCTGTAAAATAAATGAGAACCACAGTTCCTGTTTCCTTTATGATGCTACCTACCTACATCAAACATGTACATTCACAGTGTGACACTGGCTGTGTGATTCAAGTCAGAATCAATGTGAACGCTGTGCAGTCACAACACAAACATGATCCTCATGAACTGTGTAAAGTAAAGCAGTAAAGTACAACTTTATGAAATAAGCACAGTGAGGAACAACAACGGTACAGAACATTATGGGTGTTATTTCTGAGGTTCACAACATGTTCAGAGAGATTTGAAAAAAAACATTCACTTAAACCCAGCATCAGAGCTTCCACAGTTACATTTTCCTTTACTACTCAGAAAGTACTTTGCCTTGTGTATACACTCTGAACGGAACCTCCACTTTTCCCAAAGGACACAGAGTCGATAATCCCTGTTATTGATTCAAACAAATTAGGCCTCTTCACATTACTTCAAAAACATATTTTCTATAGTTTGAACCTCAAGTGGGTCCCTCTGTGTTGAGTGCAGCCTAAAGCCGCCCTGGAAAACATCCCCTCTTTTGGGGGGCTGTGGGGTTCAATTAACACCACAGTCTTTTTCTAATCTTTCCCGACAGACATAGGCTCTAAACTGCCAATTACACCAAAGTTAGGGTGGTGGCTGTTGCATCACCCGAAGTCGACCCAGAAACCAACCAACCACTATTAAACACATTTAGTAGAGACTCAGCACACTGGTACAGTGCATTATGACATTATAAATAAACAAAATCTAATTTTCACTACAGCTCTGTTCACTTCCTTTTATTTCTGTTCATTCAGTTTTGATTCAGATAAATCAATTTTGATTTGACTCTCTGGGGCATGAAGCCACTCGTCTAAGCAGCTGATGTCTTATGCAGAAGATTTTAATGTAGACTTGATGCATCAGGAAGACCAGAAGGAACAATATACAAACACTAACAGAGTAACATTAGCCCCAAGTCAATGTTTTGTTTTGTTCTATTGCATTGTGTTTTGTTGTGTTCTGATACACAAGCTGCTATGACAACTTAATTTCCCTCCGGGGATTAATAAAGTACTCTATCTATCTATCTAAGTCTGAAGATGTCTACAGTAGACACCACAGTGTACTGTTGGTTGGCACTTTATCTATAACCTGACCTTTGGTACTGCTTGGAGAAAGAAGGGAGTATCTGTGGAATTAGATGGACACTATTCTTTTAATGGTGTACAGATAAACATAATATATAGTGGCATATACAATAAAATGTGAGGATGGTCATGATTGGAGCACCACTTAGCCAATTAAGGGTTTCCACTTCTGTCTTCAAGTCCATTTTGGTTGTGTTTGTGTGTTTTTGTGTGCATGCATGTGTGCATGTGTGACCACACACCCTGGCAAGGCCCAGATTTAATTAAAATGTTATAGTGTACTGACTGCATGAAAAGTGGGATTTGCTGTGGAAGTGCAGGTTAATGACTGTTCACAGGAATTTGCAGGCAGTACAGAAAACTACCAGGAACTGCTGGGAATCCTGATCACTTGTCTGAGAAACTTGGCAAGTAATTCCCCTGCTTCTGGGTTTATGGGAGCTTGCACAAGTAAATGACAATGCTGTGAGCTTTACAAATGCAAATCAGGGCAGTTTTACTCACCAGTGGTGCAGAGGTTACACCCCCTTTTCTAAAAGGTACTAACTCCATGTTAAATCTCTGGTATAAGTACATCAGGCTTAGTATAATTATAGAATCTTAAATTGTAACTTGAATAAATTTGACTTATGTAAGTATGTATGCTATAATGAATGCAATCAGTTGGCAATCAAATTTCAGGGTACATTTGATGATACACTGTCAACATTAATGTATGTCAAGCTCATCCAAGATAATTTGTTGGAATGGAGAGTGGCACCACTGTACAGTTTTCTAAGAGAAGACTTTCTGCTGACACCAAAACACTGTGCTTCACATAAAGCATATCAGCTTTTTCATCGCGTATCAAAGTCCCAAACATTGTCCTCCCAAAATACTGGCCAACTTAGCACCATATTCACATGATTCTGGCATACTTAGATGTTGACTCTGCTTTTTACCTCATAATTTGGACTTCAATTGTCTTATAGTTGTTATTAAACTTTCTCAGTATTAAAATGCTCAAATGACCAGAAAAAATAAACTGGTCCTCAGTCACATACTCATTCTCTTTAAATATAAAGCACAATTTAAGAACTGCTCAAAATAAACATTGGTAATAAGCTATCACCGCTCGTGTAGGGGAATCAGTCACCAGTTTACGCTGAGGAAGTCCGAGCTCCTCTTGTGCAGCTTTGAGAGCCTGTTGCCTTTTCCAGCTGTGCGAAAACAAGCTGACAATCTTCTTGCAGACTCCCACAGCTCTGTCAGTACTGCTGTCCCTCATGCTTCTCTCTGCAACACAAAACCAAAACACAAAACAAACAATGACTGAAAATTCAGACACTTGTTTCCAGAATTGTTTCATATCAATTATTATTTATATCAATAATTATTATATATTAAGTCTATTTCAGTTCACATTAGTCTATGTCAATGAGTTTATATTAGCAGAACATAACACACATACATACACACACCTTTAAATTCTGTGTAAATAGAGTACACTCAACTGATTTCAGTTTGAGTCTAAAGCTGTTATTGTGCACCTGGATAACCATCTCCATTAAATATTATACTCACTGAGGTGTTTGTATGTTAAATGCACATGTATACAGTAAAGGGACATTAAGATAATTACTCACCAATAGCAATGTGCAGGTTATGCCCGAAGCAGGACAGCCTTTTCCACTGGTTCAGGGCGACTGCTTTGACCACGTTGGCTCCACTGTCTGTAGTCAGGCACACCTGTTTGGCCTCGTCCAGTTCCCATTCCTGCAGAAATTGCTTCAAACTGCTCGCAATATTTTCACCCGTGTGGTCATCGGGAAAAAACTCGTCTGAAGGCAACAGCTGTTCAAACTCCAATCACTCATTATGTAATGAATGGTAAGGCTAATGTATGGCTCAGCTACTCCACATGTCTGTGGTTGAAGCAAAAAACTCCATTGTACACAGCATTGTTTGTAATCCATCACGGCACTCTTCGTACATCTTAGGCAAGGCTGTCTTGGAAAAATACTTGTGCCTAGCGTCCATTTAATGGATCATTCGTTTGAATCCTTCCTTCTTCACAGTATGGAGTGGCAACATATCTTTCGCCAAGCAAAACGCCACTGCCTCTGTTAATTCTTTCCACCGTTTACTTTGATGATCATAAGGTGTGGAATGAGCAAATGCATCTGCAAGTTTCTTTGGATGAAGATGACGCTGCCTCTGCATCCTTGTGCACTTTCTGGCTATCGTCATATTCTGGTTTGTGCTTGTGCTTGAGGTGGTGGAACAAATTAGTGGTGTTACTGTCGTTTGTAGGCACTATTTGTTTGCAAACCTTGCACGTTGTAAATTTCTGCTCCGCGTCAGACAAACCAAACCAGTTCCAGATAATGGAGCTGGAGCCTCGTTTAGGAACGAGCTCCTTGCTGCCCGGCGTATCTGCTCCGCCTTCTGCCATTGTTTCATTGTGTCAATATTACACATGTGTTTGGCTGCCAGTGTGTCGTGCACATATATACATCATCAATGGGAATTTATCGTTTTTATCGTGGGATGACATATTCTTATATTCTTACCCTGGGGAATGTTTTTGACGATAGATTGTTAACGATGACATATCTCACATTGCTAACGTGAACAAACTTTTGGATACTGACTAGAGAGCCAGTACCAGACACACACTAACCTTCACCAGCCTTCTCAGCCAAGCATAATGGAGACATCGAAGGCTTTAGGTCAAGATTGTGAGGAGACCAGATTGCTCTCCGCTCACTCCTAAAGTCCTCAAATTCTTTAGGAAGGCTGACTGTTAGATCATCAGCATGAGCTTCGAGAAGATCAGATACATCAAGAAGAGCAAGTATGACAGCAGCACAAGCATGAGCAGAAGCACAGGCTGCTAAAGCCTGATTAGCCTACGCTGAGAAAGAAATAAGCATCAAGGTCGAAAAGGCTTGCTTAGAAGCAACTCTTGAAGTACTTGAGCTCCAGAAAGAGGCTGATGTTGCCATGGCCAAAGCAGAGGTGATGGAGGCTGCTGCTGCTCAGCTCGGTGTTGAAGGGCAAAGTGGTGAGTTTGAGTTCTTGCCTAGGCAGGTAACCCCAGTGAGTTTGAGTTCTAAGTTAAAAGACATTATAAGAACAAAGTGGAGTCTAACTACAAGGGCTCCAACGCTAGAAACGTGGTCTGGAATAAAACTATAACAGACTATAAAAGAACAACAAGTGGTGCAGAGGAAGTGTGTGCATCTCTCCCAGATGAACTGAACACATTTTATGCATGCTTTGAGAGACCCCCGGCTGTGGAGGTACAGAAAGCTCAGGATCCCTGCCCCTGCCCCCTGGTTTTAACCAGTGCAGATGTGTGCAGATCCCTAAAAAAGATCAACACACATAGGGCTCCTGGGCCTGACGGCATCCCTGGCCGTGCTCTCTAGGTGTGTGCAGTTCAGCTGGCAGAGGTGTTCACAGACATCTTCAACAAGTCACTGCTCGAGTCTATAGTCCCCACTTGTCTCAAAGAGTCCACCATCATTCCAKTCCCTAAAAAGACAAAGACCATCTGCCTCAACGACTACCGCCCAGTTGCACTCACCCTCATCATCATGAAGTGCTTTGAGCGGTTAGTCAAACAGTTCATCACCTCCTCCCTTCCCGACTCACTGGACCCCCTGCAGTTTGCTTACAGGGAGAACAGGTCCACAGCCGACGCCATCACCCTCACCCTCCACACTGCCCTCTCCCACCTGGACCAGAGGAACABRYATGTGAGGATGCTGTTCATTGACTACAGTTCAGCATTCAATACTATTGTGCCCTCCAAGCTCGTCATCAAGCTCAGGGACCTCGGGCTCAACAGCGCCCTCTGTGACTGGATCCTGAACTTCCTGATGGGCAGACGCCAGGCAGTGC